CTGGCTAATGGACCCAACAAGAACCAGAAGTTTCTTACTGTCCACCAGATGGCAGTGTTGGTTAGCAGTAGCTCTGAAAAGGACAAGATTGCACCTGGGATATAACAAATAATCTGAGGGTTTTTAAACAGCCACGCCATCCACTCCCAGAGATCTTTGATTAGACTACACTGGGATTATGACACAATATAATGATATTAAAATTAAACACTTTTGATCTTTACATAACCTATGATTTAGAATGAATCAATAAATAATAGCTACTATTAGTTTACACCCTGACGCTTCAAATAGGTTATAAACACCCTGTGGCAGACTGCCTCACACAAGTATTCATCTTAATCATTTTCAAATAAGATTCTAACCACAACTGCTCACAAATGAAGGGTTATCATTAAAAATAGACATGAAGCTTTTTTCTATTGAGTGTAAAAACAAACTCAAGTCTCACCAGATGGTCTCTGAATAAAGAAAAACTAGGCCAGTCGTGGTAGCTCATGCCTGTAATCCCAGCACTTTTGGAGGTTGAGGCAGGAGGATCACTTCAGGCCAGGAGTTCAAGACCAGCCTGGGCAACATAGTGAAATTCCAACTCTACAAAACATTAAAAAATTAGGTGTGGTGGCACACCTGTAGTCCTTGGTACTCAGGAGGCTGAGGTGGGAGGATCCCTTGAGCCCAGGAGATCAACGCTGCTGTGAACCATGATTGACACACTGTACTTCAGCCTGGGCAACAGTGAGACCATCTCAAAAAATAAAATGATCTTTTAAAAAAAAAAAAAGAAAAACCAACACTTTTTTTCTCTCAACTCACTCTCCGTACCTCACTTCCAACACCAGGTGTGAGTTTTTTTTCCCACACATCAATTATCTGGTAGGTGATCCTACAAATTTAACTCTGGTTCTACCTACCTGGAGGTTAAGGGCTCGGTCCCACAAGACTACCCTTAATTTAGACCCAACCACAAGTCCCAGGTTTGACCTGTTTTTCTGACCAACCAGCTGTAAATCAGAGGTTCCCACAACACTCCCCACTGCTGCCTAACCCCTTTGGATTCAATCCTTTGCTTGAATGGCTTAGGGAAACATCTTATTTACATTTAACTATTTATTATGAAAGTACTTATCAGAACAGCTAGATGGGAGACAGACATGCGGCAGGGGCATGGGGTTTCTGTGTCCTCTCAGAGCATACCAGCTCCACATGTTCAGTAACATGGACGCTCCAAGAATCATGTAGTTCAGGGATTTTTATGGAGGCTTAATCATATGGGCATAATCAATTGTAACTCAATCTGCAGCCTCTCTCCCCTTCCAAAGGGTGGGGTGGGGCTGAAAGTTTTAAGCTTCTAGTCATGGGCTGGTCTTTCTGGTGACCAATCCCTATCCAGGGGCCCATGGAGAGGCGTAACATTAGAACAAAACTTCCTACCAGCCAGGAAATTACAGGAGACTTGGGAGCTCTGTGCCAGGAACCAGAGACAAACAGCAAAATCTTTATTTCTTCTTATAAATCACAATATCATAGTCTCCAATGCCTCCTTGGGAAGCAGAAAGTAGCAGAGGTACAGTGGTATATTGTGTACATGAAGATCAGGTCCCTTGGCACAGGACAACTAGACAACCCAGTCCCAGTGTGGCCCAGTAAACGCAGTACAGTCTAAATGTAGGCCTTACCTTCCTCTGGGCTCTGCTCCCAGTCTGGTACATCACTTCATGTAACTCACAAGCTTCTGGACCTCAGGTGGTTTATATATAAAATAACATTGCTTAAAGACCCTAAAAATTGTAACATCCAAAACATATTAAAACAAAAAGGTACCCACAGACTTATAAAAGCAGAAAGATAATGTACTTACCATTTTGAATTGGCTTATCTATAGACAAAACATTTTCATTATTCCAATAACCTTGATAAAACACCTGGGATAGACATGGTTTTGAAGGAACTGATGATGTTGAAAACGTAATTCCTCCTATCCCCCTTTCTCTTAAATATGGTTCCTAGGTAGTATGCATTACCTGTGGTTAAGCTAAAACTGTTCCTACACACTATTTATGAAAGAAATGTTTTTTTTGTTGTTAGTCTGTGAAAAGCTGACAATGAGAACTCGGAGGTAGGCTTTCTGGGCTGATTGAGACAGTCTTGTTTGTTGCCCAGACTGGAGTGCAGTGGCATGGTAACGGCTCACTGCAGCCTTGAACTCATGGGCTCAAGTGATCCTCCCACCTCAGCCTCCCAAGTAGCTAGGACTCAGCATGTACCACCATACCTCATTTTTTTTTTCTTTTTTTTTAATGTAGACACAGGGTCTCACTACATTGCCCATCCTGGTCTTAAACTCCTGTGATCAAGCAATCCTCCCATCTCAGCCTCCCAAATTGCTAGGATTATAGGCACAAACCACCACACCTGGCCTTTCTGGACTTTTTAATGCCCAGTTATCTGGATTCAACAGCAAGAGGCCACCACTGAATAGTGAAGGACAAGAGGCCGCTAAACTTCCTACACATGCAAAATGCATTATTTAGAGGAAGTAAGCTATTCTCACATCCCTTTCAGTGCCTTATGCTAGACAAAGACACAACACCACCTAACAACCCCAACCAGGAGAGGGGCAATGAGTGTAGAGGGTAGGTCTTAAAAACGAATGAAACAAGCGGGGTTTTGGGGTTTGATTCAGTATCTACTCTATAGAAGACATGGTGCTAGGATGCTGCAGAAGTACCACATACTCCTGGTCAAAAGGCACATAAATTCTAGTAACAGATTCTAACACAAAACTTCAGAACCAGATTAAACGAGCGTATTAAATACTGTAAGTTTCAAAGACAACAGAAAAGTAAAATTAGTCCAAATAAATATGTTAGTGGAAATGCATTGGTAAAAGTAATGGCAGGGAAGGGCCCTGGAAGGAGGTGGTAGTGGTAGAAAAGGGGGGTAAGTTAGAAAACTGTTCATGTCACAGCCAGGCGCAGTGTCTCACGCCTGTAATCCCAACACTTTGGGAGGCCAAGGCAGGCAGATCACGAGGTCAGGAGTTCAAGATCAGCCTGGCCAACACAGTGAAACCCCAGCTCTACTAAAAATGCAAAAATTAGCCTGTTGTGGTGACGCATGCCTGTAGTCTCAGGTACTCGGGAGGCTGAGGCAGAAGAATCGCTTGAACCCGGAAGGCAAAGGTTGCAGGGAGCAGAGACCGCGCCTTTGCACTCCAGCCTGGGCAACAGTGAGACGCCATCTCAAAAAAAAAAAAAAAAAGTGTTTGTGTTAAATGTAACAGAGCTCATCTTTTAGAGAGAAATGGCTAGGCTAATAGAGTCATGTGCCATATAACATTTCGGTCAATGATGGGCCACATGACAGATTATAAGACCATACCTTTATGTTTAGATACACAAATACCATTGTGTTACAACTGCCTAGTCAGTATAGTCCCATGCTGTACAGGTTTGTAGCCCAGGAGCAAGACTATACAGCCTAGGTGTGGAGTAGGCTCTGCCGCCTAGGTTTGTGTAAGTCCACTTTAGGATGCTCACATGAAAACATCACCTAACAACATTTTCCTCAGAACACATCCTTGTTAAGCAACACATGACTTATTTTTGGCATAAGCTTTTAATGTCAAGTTTTATGAGCAAGGTTAGGCAAGTAAAATGTTCTGAGTCTAGGATATTAAAACACTGAGATGTTTAGCAGAACAGAAATTATAGTCAGTCAAACAGAAAAAATAGTAATAAAAAAACACTGAGATAAACTTTTTTTTTTTTGAGAGAGTCCAGCTCTGTTGCTCAGGCTAGAGTGCAGTGGCGTGATCTTGGCTCACTGCAACCTCCGCCTCCCTGATTCAAGTGATTCTCCTGCCTCAGCCTCCTAAGTAGCTGGGACTACAGACACATGCCACCACACCTGGCTAATCTTTGTATTGTTAGTAAGAGACAGGGTTTGCCATATTGGTCAGGCTGGTCTCAAACTCCAGACTTCAGGTGATCCACCTGCCTCGGTGTCCCAAAGTGCTGGGATTACAAGCATGAGCCACTGTGCCCAGGAAATTAACGTAACTTTTAAGAGAGTATAGAGCTCAAAATAATTTAACAAGCTAGTTTATTTTTTGTTTCATCTGCAGCAAGATGAGACAGGAAAAAATACGATTTCTCCATGGTCACTTCTACTGGTTTTTTTTTGAGACAGAATCTCACTCTAGTGTCCAGGTTGGAATGCAGTGGTGTGATGACAGCTCACTGCAGCCTCAACCTCCCAGGCTCGAGTCATCTTCCCACCTCTGCCTCTGGAGTAACCGCAACTACAGGCGCGCCATCACTGCACCCAGCTAAAGTGTTTTTTGGGTACAGACAGGGTCTCACTATGTTGCCCAGGCTGGTCGCAAACTCTTGGGTTCAAGCGACCCTCCCATCTCAGCCTCCCAAAGTGTTGGGATTACAGGTATAAGCTACCACGCCTGGCCCTATTTCTACTAGTTTCATCACTGGATTTGTGAGCCTAGCCCAACTTCCTCAACCCAATTGTCCTCAGAGGAGGCAATGTATTTCTCACTTTTGTAATTCCACACAGCAAACCCAAGATTTCAACAAGCCCAGTAGCTTGTACCCAAATGTTTTGCTTATATTCTCCTCTTCCCCTTCTTTCTCATGGAACATCATCCAGCTTGGCAGAGAGAATCCAAAGCAGCACTTCCCCACACTATGCTCTGACAGGGTGGCAGGTGCCCAAGGGACAGCTCCCTCCAGCATAGAGCAGCCCTGAGCATTTTCCATGTGGCGGTCAGGAAAAAGGTTGGAAACAACACATTTAAACCTCAGGAACTTCTGTACTCTCTGTCACCCTAGTCGTAAGGGAAATGGACTACAAAACACTGAAAAAAAAAAAATCCTTGACACACAAAAGTAATCATCTAACCGCAACTGTTCAAAGTTTACAACGCAGAGAGAAGCCTCTCAGTGCCTTGCTTTGTAACTATCAACCACATTCAACAAAGGTATAAAACACAATTACTTTATTGATTTCTTACAATCAAATACTGCCAACTAGCATTACTTCCACTCTTGCATCATTAAAAACAAAGGGTATTTCCTCCTTGGTATTTTCAAATGATGCACTATACAATAAACAAAGTTAGAACTTAAAATGCACCCTGATTAATTATGTAAACTGGTAATTTGTTTTAAAAAAGCATAATAATTTGGTTCCTTTCTTCATAAAATGGAAATTTAAATATTTCTTTTGATAGTCTTGAGGTTATTATGAGTAGTGCAAAGTGTGGCACATATAGTTTCATCTAGAAGGGTGTGTATCTTACACACCTTATTTAAACAAACAAAATGTGCATTAACAAAATGCATACAGTCAATGCATGATAGAAAGCATGTTTCAAATATAAGGCAGCCCCTCCGGCCACCATATTATTTAGGTTTTGCATTATCATTTATGGCATTATAGATTAATTACACATAACTTTTATACATTTTAACCCTGAAGATAAGAAAAATAACTGTTGCTTAAAAGAAATTATTCCAGGTAGCCATTTGGTTTGTATCAGGAGAAACCGAACCTCCATGAGTTTAGTGTCTGCCAAGTCGGAATCATTAGCTCAAGTGAGTGAATGAGATATGCGGCGCATTTCACAGTGACTGTTTCCCAAGTCCTGGCAATGCCTCTGCTCCCACAGTCCACCAGATGAAGCATTTCCGGGATGACCCTTCTATGTGGTTTTCCCTTTTCATTTTTTTTTTTTTGCTGGATTAATGATTACTGTATTATTTCCTCTTCCCCTTTTCTGTGGCCTTCCATTTTAATTACTCATAAATCCTTTCAGAATATCCTCAGAGAGCTCCATAAGGGGAAGTTCTGGAGATGGAAAATCCAAGGGAGGAAGATTGGGGATTGGAATGTCCTTGGCTTTCCCGGTATTTGCTGCGAACTTCTGCCAGGTTGAGGAGGCTGTAGCAGTTTCTGAATGTGGTGGCAAGCTCCATAACTCTGATGTTTCTACAAAATCAGCATCTACATCTAGCTCCTTTTCTATTGGACCTTTTAGAAGTCTGGCCTTTTCAGCCTTTAGTTGTTTATTTTCTTTCCTTAATCTTTCATTCTCAGCCACAAGGAACTCCACGTGCCTCTTCAAATCTGCAATTTTGGTTGCCTGCTCCTCTATAATTGTTTTATCATCTTTTGGGGCTTTGCTTCCAATACATGGCTCTGCTGGCTCACTCTTTTGCTGAAGTAAATATAGTAGTGTGTCTGGATCCCTGTCAAAGATCCCCTGAATCTCAGGCAGGCATTTCTCTGTAGAAGGGCTGTACTTCTGAGAAAGGGGGCTCTGGCCCTCTGCATCCTCTGCAGAGGGTTTGTGAGATGCCTGAAGATGGGCAGCTATATCCTTGTCTGTGTTCTGCTGGGCTTTCAATCTTTCTTCACGTTGGGCCCTTTTCCATCTCTCTTGGATGAGGAGAAGCTGTTTCATATGGCTATCCCTTTGCAATTCCAGTGAAAGATGAGCCTATTACATAGAAGGAAAGGTAAAATTTGAAGAATTTTAACATTTTAAGTGTCTCAGTAATGTCCAACATATACTACTCCAAAATCCTCCTTTCTGAATAACCCAACAACACTTACGATTTACATACTATGTTTGCAAAAACACCATTCATTCAGAAAGTTAGAAGTCCTATTCCCAATCAATACACTAAATCAGATGTTTTCCTCAATGTGCCTGACCCCATGTGTAATGGCATTTGTATTCAACTTAAAATTAGAAATCTTTCCTCTGTAGACATACTAATTCTACCAACAGCTAAAAAGAAAGTCATCTTTATCAACAGTGTGTTTGGATAGTTCAAAGCATGCCTGTATCACGAGCAGATTCCATACTTTCAAAGGCAGTGAAAGGGACAGAACACAACTTTAAAGTTCCCTTGGTTCAGTTTGAGAAACTAGTGGCTTTCCCTGCCACTGATATACCTCACAGAAATGATCTCCTTAACTGATACTTTTACAATAAAAAGTTTTAAACAAGATATTTTATATGTATTTATTTTAGAAACAGGGTCCCTGTTGCCGAGGCTGAAGTGCAATGGTCCAGTCATAGCTCACTGCAGCCTTGAACTCAGGTGTTCAAGTGATCCTCCCACCTCAGCCTCCCAAGTAGCTAGAACTACAGGCATGTGCCACCATGCACAGCTAATTTTTTTAAAATTTTTAAAAAATTTTTGGGGTCTCACTATGTTGCCCAGGCTGGTCTCGAACTCCTGGGCTCAAGTATGATCCCCCTGCCTTGGCCTCCCAAAGTGCTGGGATTATAGGCATGGGCCACCATGCCCAGTCTTATGAATAAATGTATCTTGAAACACTTGGCAGGGCCTCCCCAAACACAGAAGACAATTTAAAGCAATTGGTGAAACAAATTTAAAAGTACCTGAACTGCTTAAGAACTCAAGCAAAGACAAGTGGGAGACGGGTCACATTTAAATTATCTTTGACAAGCAAAGGGCAGTCCAGCTGGTTTCCTCTTGGCCAGGCCTGTTTACTGACTGTGAGCTAATGATCAAATAAGAGCTAATGATCAGGAATGGTCCGAAGAGGGCTCTCTAAAAGGTACATCTGGCTGGCAATCTGAGATCTGTGAATAACCACTAGAAAAAAAGAAGTTTCTGCATTCCATGTCTGGGGCATCGACTGTAGTTCATTTAGTTTTAATTTCCGTTGTGAAGTGCTCTTCCCTTGCCCATTTTATATATTTTTGACTATAGCATTTTGAGAGGGACACAACGCTTTGCTATACACACAGTTCAAGCCTCTACAAGAAAACCTTTCTAACCCTTGTTGAAAATATTGGGAGCACGTCTCACCTGCTCAGACTGTGTCAGCTTCATGGCTTCAGAAAGATATGCTGTTAAAAGAAAAAACAGGCATATTACTATGTGTCGCCGTTCTGTAATTAACAGGTAAAAGGAAGAGTTTTAATAATCCTCATATGACAAACAGAACTGTTCTGATAAATAATTCTGATACAACTGGGGATTTTTTAAATAGAATTCTTAACTTCCCCCAAAAGGATGTCAGTGGCAATAAAATGAAAATATTCCCTACCCTATCTTGAAGGTTTTGTTATTTAAAACTCCTATGGATTTTATAATTCAGAAACTGAAGATAGCCTCATTGGAAAAATAGGTTTAGGGAAGATTAAAATCAAACAAGAACCTATCCAAACCCTATTACTCATTATACGCACAAAAACATCATGAGATTATCAATGACTTTTTATCCATCTGAATACCTGGAATCTATCATTTTGGACTCCTATAGAATTACTTTTAATGAATTGTCTCTGAGTTAAGCCATCAGCCTTACGGTTAAAAGCCCTAAGAACCTGTTGACATATTTACTGTGAGGAAGTTACTGAGGACAGTATAATGTCATTTATGAAGACCTTCAAAAAACTTCTCTGATCTTAGATCCTCGGTGACTATTTGTTTGAATTTTAATAGCCAATGTAAAAATTATTCTTTCCTCTTTAGGATGACTGCTAGAAAACTTAAGGCAAGTTCTTTAAAAAAAATCCAAGAACTAATGGTACATTTTGTGAACTATACTACTAGTCCTTTCCCACTTTCTCTCTCTATGGATGTCCTTATCTATGCATCTTTAGTTACATTTGATATTTTATTATACATTCATCGGTAAGACATTTTATAACCTGTTGGGAACAAGGTTAGGTATAAATAACAAGTTCTGTATTATCAATGAATTGCCCATAATGAATCTCCATTTTTATCTTGCTTGTGTAAACATTTTTGGCATCTCTCATACCTATATTAAGTCCCTCTTTTGCCTTTTTGCAGATATGAGGCATTGCTTTCTGTCTAGTCTTAATCCAAATAATTTAATGATTTGATGTTGTAACTTAAGAGTTCCTGCCTGCTAGGTTCTACCGTAGTCCTTAAGATACAATTATATCAGGGGTCCCAAACCCCCAGGCTGGTATTGGTCTATGTCTTGTTAGGAACTGGGCCACACACACAGCAGCAAGTGAGCAGCAGGCAAGCCAGTGAAGCTTCATCTGTATTTACAGCCACTCCCCACTGCTTGCATTACCACCTGAGTTCTGCCTCCCATCAGATCAGCAGCGGCATTAGCTTCTCATAGCACAAACCCTACTGTGAATTGCACATGCAAGGGATCTAGGTTGCACTCTCCTTATGATAATCTAAAGCCTAATGATCTGTCACTGTCTCCCATCACCCCTAAATGAGACTGTCTAGCTGCAGGAAAACAAGCTCAGTGTTCCCACTGATTCTACATTACACTGAGTTGTATAATTATTTCATTTCTATTATTACATTGTAAAATATAAAGTACACAATAAATGTAATGTGCTTGAATCATCCTAAAACCATTTTCCCCACCTCAGGTCTGTGGAAAACTGACTTCCACAAAACCGGTCCCTGGCAGCAAAAAGGTTGGGACTGCTGAATTAGATGCTCCCTCTCCAGGAAAAAGGAGAGCTGGGGCCAGGTGCAGTGGCTAGTACTTTGAGAGGCCAAACAGGAGGATTGCCTGAGCCCAGGAGTTCCAGACTAGACTGGGCAACATAGCGAGACCCTGTATCAATTTGAAAAGAATTAAAAGAAAAAACAGAGTTAGTTATATAGTCTTTGCTCCAGCCATGCTTACCATAATTACATCCTTCCCACAACACTTTGTCTTTTTTTCCTGTAGTAAGTCTGTGCAGCTGCATACCGGTTTCTTTTCCTTTTGTTCATGTTTAAATCTGTGGAGATGGACGGGTGCGGTGGTTCACACCTGTAATCCCAGCACTTAGGGAGGCCGAGGCTGGTGGATCGCCTGAGGTTGGGAGTTCAAGACCAGCCTGGCCAGCATGGTGAAACCCCAGCTCTACTAAAAAAAAAAAAAAAAAAAAAAAAATTAGCTGGGCATGGTGGCAGGCGCCTGTAATCCCAGCTACTAGGGAAGCTGAGGCAGGAGAATCGCTTGAACCCGGGAGGTGGACGTTGCTCTGAGCCAAGATCACGCCATTGCACTCCAGCCTGGGTAATGGAGCAAGACTCCAAAAATCTGCAGAGACAATCTGTCTGCTCTGCTATTGCTCTGATACACTGTAGACAAATTTTCTTAGACATCCCTTCCATCTTGCCTGCGTGTATTTGTCTCCCCGTTTGAACTACAGTTTGCTTTAAATCTACTTTCTTAACAAACGAATAGTTTTCACAAAACCAAGCTTTAGCCAACTGAAATGCCTCCCCACTTTGTAGAACCTTGAAATTGTATATGACAAAGGAGGCTACCGAAGGAGATCCCAAAGCACAAAGAATACAACAAGAATCACACTGTCATTTAAAGTATTCCCCACATTTAAATCTTATAAATGGGGCAGTTTAAAGTTATTTTTAAAGAAGAAAAATTATTTTAAATCTGATTCCATGTTTATGGATTTCTTCCACAGACTCACAATAGATACAAAAGTACAGCAACACAGAAATGTAGAAAAAGAGTACCTATCTCAAAAACTGCTAACAATTCTGGTTAAAATACTTCCTTTAATTATGATACGAGGCTAAAATGTAAAGTAGATATTAAGTAAATGATACAATAAAGGAACTAAGGAAATCTGAAGAACGTCTTAAAATAATAACATCTGGCCAGGCGCAGTGGCTCACGCCTGTAATCCCAACACTTTGGGAGGCCGAGGTGGGCGGATCACTTGGTGTTAGGAGTTAGTTTGAGACCAGCCTGGCCAACATGGTGAAACCCTGTCTCTACCAAGATATACAAAAATTTGCCGAGTGTGGTGGTGCACGCCTGTATTTCCAGCTACTCGGGAGGCTGAGGCAGAAGAATCACTTGAGCCTGGGAGGTGGAGCTTGCAGTGAGCTAAGATCATGCCATGGCACTCCACTATGGGTGATAAAGCAAGACTCAGTCTCAAACAAAAACCAAAAAACAAAAAATAATAACATCTATTACTCTTCTATCAGGAATCTGTTAAACTGGTCCCAAAGCATAGAAAGTACAGCAATATACTGCCTCTGAATAAGGATAGAATCATTTTCATGTTACCACTGTTACAAAAGGCTTAGGTTAAGATTTGTTTTCAAACAAAATATTGATCAAATCCATACAAATACTGTGTACTCTGGGGCCTGCTCATCTTCTGAAATGCTCATTTTGAGTTCTAAGCACTGTAAATGGCTATTAACTTATTTAAGGTTTTGTTCTTCTGTTGTGTATGAAAGAAGAGAAATTCACTTAGGGATGTGCTTATCTGGCAAATGAATGCTCACATGCTCAGTTTCATTTAATTTGGCCATTCATTGTCCACCTCAAGAGATCCTACCTTTCCTCAAAAGGAAAGAGACATCAAGCAACTTCTTATTTCAGCACATTTACAATACAAACACCAAAAAGAGACTATAAAGTCCTTAGCTAGGTAATCTCAGGGTATGTTTTTAGTCTCAGAATCTCCTCTGATCTTTGACAGCTGGACACCCAGGCCCCCTCTGTTTGCCCTTAAATTCTCTCATTTCAGCCTTTCCTTCCTATTAATCTTTCTCAGATGTTGATCTTTTCTTGCCTCATCTCTAAAATGATTTCCAAATAAGTTGCTTCCTTACAGAATACACCTACATCCATACCTTTCAAGACCAGTTATAAGCCCTAGAGATGCAAGTCAATTTCAAAAAGCGAGCTCATTTCAACCACGTCAATTTTCAACTCCATTCTAAAACACAAGTTGAAACCCCAGTCAACCCAGTGGGATTTACTAATCACATTAAGTTCTATCTCTATAATTTAAGCTAATGTGATCTAACAGATTGTCTTATTTTTCCACTCCTGAGAATGTCACAGAATTTAGACTGGGGGTGGGAAGTGGTTAATTGAAGCCCAACATCAGTTTTAAGTCTTCAAAGACAAGGATTAGGTTACGACTAAAACTTCCTTCTTTTTATATATTCATAACATCCCATAGCTCAGTGCATAACATATGCTGATTCACTCCACTTAACATATGTTATATATATGTAACCATGACCATTTTGGGTTACATAAGGTATTGTTTCACTGGGGCATCCACATAAAACATGGTTTTCTTAAATAGTTAAACACGGTACATCGTCTTTGTAGTGACTACAGATTTAACAATCTGATTCATAACAAAATATGGTTTAGGAAAGATTTAAAGAGCACTAGTTGACATGTTTAACACTGTACAAAGCCCTCTCACCATAAAAACACCCAAAGATTTATGGGATATCTACTGTATGCTCGGACCTACAGCAGATACCTCCAGTACACTTCAGAGGCAAAAATATTTCTTTTTTTAAAAAAGTGGGGGTGGGAGGCTGGGGGAGGGATAGCATTAGGAGAAATATCTAATGTAGACGATGGGTTGATGGGTGCAGCAAGCCACCATGGCACGTGTATACCTATGCAACAAACCTGCACGTTCTGCACATGTACCCCAGAACTAAAAAAAAAAAAAAAGGGGGGGCTTGGCGCAGTGGCTGATGCCCATAATCCCAGCACTTTGGGAGGCCAAGGTGGGTCAATCATGAGGTCAGAAGTTCGAGACCAGCCTGAACAACATGGAGAAACCCCGTCTCTACTAAAAATACAAGCCGGGTGTGGTGGCACACACCTGTATTCCCAGCTACTCAGGAGGCTGAGGCAGGAGAACCACTCGAACCCAGGAGGTGGAAGTTGCAGTGAGCCAAGACCGTGCCACTGCACTCCAGCCTGGGCGACACAGCAAGACTCTGTCTCCAAAAAGAAAAACAAACAAACAAACAAAACTTAAAATTTTCTCTGAAAATTACTAACTTCTAGGCAAAAAACACTGTAGTGAGAAGACTTATCCAATCTACTGCCCACCTTGCAGTCTGTATTTCATAAGTAAAATATCAAGGGAGGGGCAGCCTCTGTCAGGAAAGAATATGGCTCTGATCATCATACTGGCCTAGAGGGAAAGGAACGTGCCTGCCAGCAGAAGACTTCAGGGTCTGCCCTAAGAAAGATGACCTGCACTCATTTTGGATGTGGCATGAGTAAAACATCCTTTCCCCAAAGATTTTTAAATTTTTTTTATTTCTATTTTTATACTTACCACTACACTAACGAGGACCCAAAGTTTTTCGGTTTGTTACTCAGCCAACAGAAATTGGTCTAAGCAAAACAGGCCCCCAAGATCTATTTCTGAGTTCAACATATGCTAGGTTGCTTGACTGACTAGGGTAAAATTAGGTCTTTGATAAGAAGCCAACAATTCTGAAATGAAAGCTATCATCAGCATGTTACTATAGGCATGCATGTAGAGATGAGATATTCAGAAGGGAAGCTAAAAAAAGACCACAGGAAAAATCTCCCACATTTTAGGTAACAAAAGTCTTTAGCAAGTTTTGCATTATCAGCATGTTAGAAAACAGAAACTCAGTGAAAATGAATTGGTTGGAACTGAATTGAATTACTATTTTGAGAACCTGAAATGGTAAATTATTTGAAACCCAAACTCCTTTTTTATAATAACTAAGATAAAATGGCAGACTTGTTACAATCAGCTCCTGTTTTTAGGGATCTTTTGGCTCAGAAGGCTGTGTCCAGGAATTGTTTACCACATTTATGCCATCTTCATGGTTTAGAAAGAAGACTGGACTAGCAGGAGCTGGGAAATCCAACACACTTACTTGAAAAATAATCAAAGCTGATATTCTGGTGAGTCAGCAGTATCAGTCTTGTATATGAAAAGCAACACACATTATTACTATTGTGACTTTCTGCTCTTCAGTTTTACACTGAGTACTTAATAACACTCACCTGCAGCCTTTTTGTGACAAGAAATAGCCTCTTCGTATTTGCCTGCAGCTAATAAACGGTCTGCTCGTCTGCTCTGTTGATGAGCCTAGAAGACAAACATCCCTAAGTTGCTCTGGATCATAAAATAAAACACGATTTCTTTTAAAAAGCAACTACCTTTAAAGAAGATAAATAATACTGTTTGTTGCCACATATCAAATCACTATCACAGCTCTATCTGTAGCTGGGGAAATGTAATGGGTAGAGCCTGGAACTACAGCATCTGAAAGGAACTGGCAACTTCTTTCACTTCTACCATAAGCCCTCTCAAGGTTAACACCAGGCACTTAACTCCTTCATTGACTCACATTCTTCCACTCTTTGGAGATTAACCAAGAGTTACAATCATAGATTGTTATTCAAAATGTCTAGTTTCTTGATTTTTAACAAGCTCCTTTCAAAACAAGAGCTATTTTGTAGATACTTTCACTAATCTGTATAGTCTAAAAATCATAATCAGGAAATCACTCATTACGTAGTAAAATCCAAGCTTCTCTTCTATCATGTCATTCTTTCGACATTAAAGTTACTATGTTTTTAAAATAAAAAATTTGGACATTGCATAGTTGATGAATTCATGATACCAACATCTAATATTACAAAGATTGTTCTTTTTTTTTTTTTTTTTTTTTTGAGACGGAGTCTTGCTCTGTAGCCCGGGCTGGACTGCAGTGGCCGGATCTCAGCTCACTGCAAGCTCCACCTCCCGGGTTTACGCCATTCTCCTGCCTCAGCCTCCCAAGTAGCTGGGACTACAGGCGCCCGCCACCTCGCCTGGCTAGTTTTTTGTATTTTTAGTAGAGACGGGGTTTCACTGTGTTAGCCAGGATGGTCTCGATCTCCTGACCTCGTGATCCGCCCGTCTCGGCCTCCCAAAGTGCTGGGATTACAGGCTTGAGCCACCACACCCGGCACAAAGATTGTTTTAAAGATACCTCATCAAAAGAACAAAGTCAAAAAAATCAGAAGTTCTAACAGCAAATAATGTAATTGCTCTTGAATTGCAAAGGAAAACTGATAAATAAGCAGTCACTGGCCTCCTTACACTTTAAGAATCTCAAAAGGGCTTTAAGGCCAGACGCAGTGGCTCACGGCTGTAATCCCACCACTTTTGGAGGCTGAGGCAGGCGGATCATCTGAGGTCAGGAGTTCAAGACCAGCCTGGACAACATGGTGAAACTCCATCTCTACTAAAAATACAAAAATTAGCTGGGCGTGGTGGCTCACGCCTGTAATCCCAGCACTTTGACCAGCCTGGCCAACACGGTGAAACCCCATCTCTACTAAAAATACAAAAATTAGCTGGGTGCGGTGGCTCATGCCTGTAATCCCAGCACTTTGGGAGGCTGAGGCGGGCGGATCACGAGGTCAGGAGATCAAGACCATCTTGGCTAACAGGGTGAAACCCGGTCTCTACTAAAAATACAAAAATTAAAAATTAGCCGGGCATGGTGGCGAGCGCCTGTAGTCCCAGGCTACAGGCGCTGAGGCTGAGGCAGGAGAATGGCGTGAACCCCGGAGGTGGAGCTTGCATTGAGCCGAGTTCGCGCCACTGCACTCCAGCCCGGGCGACAGAGTAAGACTCCGTCTCAAAAAAACAAAACTAAAAACAAAAACAAAAATTAGACAGGCGTGATGGCGGGCGCCTGTAATCCCAGCTACTCAGGAGGCTGAGGCAGAGGCTGCAATGAGGCGACATCACGCCACTGCTCTCCAACCTGGGTGAAGAGAATGAAACTCCATCTCAAAAAAAAAAAAAAAAAAAAAAAAAGCTTTAATATACATTATTTCAGCTGCTTTAATTACAACTTTGTGAATGCATTTTCCTCTCTTACATAAGGAGGCCCAAAAGACTGGTGGGGGTCATGTAACTTACATAAGATTATACATTTAACTAGCAAGGAGAAAGGCAGACATCATCAGCTAAAGTTTTCTACCTCATGTAACGGTTTTCCTCAGTAACAAACTCACACATGATTTAGCAAAGCTTCACAGCTTCACAAAAAAGCAAAAAGCATTGTACACCCATGTTCATAACAGCATTATTCACAACAGCCAAAAGGTGAAAGCAATCCAGACGTCCATCAATAGATGGAGATGGATAAATGCAGTATATACACACAAAGGAAAGGTACTGTCTTTAAAAGGAAGGTACTTCTGACACATACTATAACATGGATGAACTGTGAGGACATTAGACTGAATAAAATAAGCCAGTCATAAAAGGACAAATACTATACAAACCAACGTATTGGGTATCTAAAGTAGTCAAACTCATAAAAACAGGAAAGTTGAATGGTGGAACAAATCATTGAATGGGGGAGGGGTAAACGGGGAGTAGGTATTCAAACGGCATATTTTCAGTTTTGCAAGATGAAAAAGTTCTGGAGATTTGTTGCACAACCATGCAAATATACTTAACACTACTAAACTGTACACTGAAAAATAATTAAGAGGGTAAACTTTACGTGTTTTTTACATCACTTAAAAAAGGTGAAAAGTGGCCAGGTGTTGTGGCTCCTGCCTATAATCCCAGCACTTTAGGAGGCCAAGGCAGGCAGATCACTTGAGCTCAAGAGTTTGAGACCAGTCTGGGCAATATGGTGAAAACTCATCTCTACAAAAAATACAAAAATTAGCCGGATGTGGCACTCGCATCCCAGCTACTCAGGAGGCTGAGGTAGGATGATCACTTTGAGCCTGGGAAATGGAGGCTGCAGTAACCTGTGATCGCACCACTGCACTCCAGCCTGGGCAACAGAGTGAGATCCTGTCTCAAAAAAAAAAAAAAAAAGGTCGGGCACAGTGGCTCATGTCCGTAATCCCAGCACTTGCGGAGGCCAAGGCGGGTGGATCACCTCAGGTCAGGAGTTTGAGACCAGCCTGGCTAACGTGGTGAAACTCTGTCTCTACAAAAATTAGCTGGGCATGGTGGTAATCCCAGCTACTCCGGAGGCTGAGGCGGGAGAATCACTTCAACCCGGAAGACAGTGGTTGCAGTGAGCTGAAATCGCACCATTACACTTCAGCCTGGGCAACAGTGAGACTTGGTCTCAAAAAAAAAACAAAAAACAAAAATAAAAAAAACCAAATCTGTTCTGTCAGCTGAAAAATGATTTGTCTTGGATGCTTTTTAAAGACATGTCCCTTTGATGCGGCATAAAATACTTCACAGAATCACGTTTGCAATTGAGATTATAAATATTCTGGGCATGTTTACAAATCATACTCAGTATAAAATACAGGTGAAGACAAAAGTAGAAAACAGCACTTCCAGCAATGCGTTGCTGTTTGCCTTCCCCCTCGCCCCCCGCTTCTATTTTTGTAAGAAACAAACAAGCAACAATCTTAAAGACAAGATTGGTGCCTTTCAATTAGAGGATTTCAGATACTTTTTATTCTTTAAGTAGTAATCAAACTTTCCTCTAAGTCTTAACATATGCCTGGGAACAATAGGTCACAAGAAATGACTAGGTAGGGTGGGCGCAGTGGTTCACGCCTGTAATCCCAGCACTTTGGGAGGCTGAGGCAGGCAGATCACTCAAGGCCAGGAGTTCAAGACCAGCCTGGCCAATATGGCGAAATGCCATCTCAACTAAAAGTACAAAAATTAGCCTGGCGTGGTGGCACATGCCTGTAATCCCAGCTACTCAGGTGGCTGAGGCACAAGAATTGCTTGAACAACCTGGGAGGCGGAGGTTGCAGTGAGCTAAGATCATGCCACTGCACTCCAGCCTGGGCAACAGAGCAAGACAGCCTCAAAAAAAAGACTCGGGGATTAAAATGGATGAATTTTAACCTGGAGACTTGGACTGAGCAAAAAACACATTCTGAACACATGAGCATTTTCTAGTACCCACAAATTACACAGATCTTTTGGGAACAGAATGTACATGATGAAGAAAGCTAGTACGTACAAGCAGTTATGATTAACCTAATTTCTCTAATGAACATGTTTTGATACTATTAAAGCAAGTGGTATTAAATCAAAAGGCTCTAGGTTTTAATAAAAATACAAATCACCTGGTTAAAATACAGATTCTAAAAGGCCAGGCGCAGTGGCTCACACCTATAATCCCAGCACTTTGAGAGGACGAGGAGGGAGAATCGCTTGAACCAGAGAAGCAGAGGTTGCAGTGAGCCGAGATCATGCCACTGCACTCCAGCCCGGGCAACAAGAGTGAAGCTCCATTTCAAAAAAAAAAAAAAAAAAAAAAAAAGATTCTGATTCAGGAGGTTTGGAGCACGGCTTGAGACTCCACCCAGGAAAAGTCAAAGTTTCTGGCTTACGGATACACTCTAAGAAGCAGGGATGAGATGCTATTTCAGGTTACTTCATTCTAACACCTTTTTTCTATCTGTGTGTCACTAATGACTTCAATCACTTTCTATCTTACACTATGGATATTTATGTAGCTCCATAATTAAATTTCAAACTCGGTGATGACAGAATAAACTGTTAATTGAACACCAAAAAAATAAAAAGTTCTCAAACAGTGAGAGCAGGTCCTCATGGCTCTCCCAACTCCCCTAAAACATCCCTATGTAGAGTCCAATCTCTAATCAGTCTGCCAATTTAGGAGTTAAATCTCATTATAGTTTCAGATTATTGCTGAGCTCAACAAAAACACACCATCTCCTCTGGGTTATTTAGCACCAGAGCAATCAAATTTCATATTTTAAGTAGAGTTCCTACTATGTTCTTATTAGACACACAGCAAACACAGACTCGATAGAGCTCAACTGCCAACGTTCAAATCTCAGTTTGACCACATATGAGACACATGAGGCTGGCTTTCCCAATTACCTGCCTCAGTTTTCTCATCTCTAAAATGAGTTATTGTCTGCTTATGTAAATTTGATGGCACCAAAAACAAAAGAGTGTGTGAAAATTAAACTAGATGAAACATCACACTGCTTAGAATGGTGCCTGGTACTGGTACATACTTGATATATCCCTCGTTAAGTACTACAAGACAATAGAAGTGATGGAAGTACCTGCCATGAAGAAGTTGACAATATAGTTGGGTCTAGACTAAATTGCAT